GCTAAGGCCAGGGGCCTGACAACTTGAAAAGACAGTTTGGGAGAAAGCGAGCTGAACTACTTGTGCATTAAGAACTGCATAAATCTAGCCTGGAACCTTCCACTAGATACTGCTTAGGACTGACTTTTCCACCTCTGGCTTCCTCTACAAGAGTCTGGTACCTGGGCTCACAGGAGGGGAGGCAGCCAGGGAAGGGGACCCAGGGGGGATTGGAGAAAGGTGCAGGTTTGCGTCAAGTTCCCTATAGGTACTGCAGAACGCAAAGCAGAGCTGGGAGAGAAGGAAGTCTAATGAGCAACCAGTTAAAGACTAAAGGTTAACAGAAGTCACTTAAACGACATACAGATTTCCTGGCTTTGCACAGCTCTGGAAAACCCCGGCTGCACTTTGAAAAATGCAAAGCTATTATAAAATTCAAAGGGCTGGTATGGTAATGAGGAGAGATGAGCGCATGAGATAACATGGATTGCCAAACTCAAAGACCAGGAAGCTGCATGGGTTTTTTCTGCATGAGAATTTGGCAGGGAAAAGAAAGGTCTGTCTCACCTTGAATCTGGTATAAAAAACAGTGACATCCCCCCACATTGGACCCACGGGGGAAGGGGAAGATGGGATGAGAACCTGTAGCCCTTAATTATAAGCAAGTGACTGAAAAGTTGGGAGGACCCGGGGACACCAGTTCAGCCCTGCCAACTTCTGAGCCTCCGGGTCCGGCTGTCTGACTCCAGCTCGGGCGGTCTGCGTGAGGCATTTTTATGAGCCTGCCTGAAACTGAACAGGCCATTTCCAGGACTGGCGCTGGTTCAGGACGACCAGGAGAGTTAGGGATGAGCTGGCTTCCAGGAGGCGGAGCCACGAGCTCTGGGAGGGAGGCTTCTTGCCAGCCCAGGTGAGCGGCCCCACCAAGGCTGGGCAGAGCGATTCGGTGACTGCTCGAGCCCTGGCACAACCTGGGGGTGGGGGAGTGCAGGGCTGCAGGGTGGTGCAGGGCTGCGGGGAGGGGGCATTCAGCACCCCCCCCCCCCAGCACACAATGTGTGAGGCAGGGGCATCCAGGAAGTCCAACCTCTCTCAGAGGAAGTGCCCAAAGTGGAGAGGCGAGGTGGCTTTTCCTTAACTCGGGAACAGGGGTTCGGTGTGCACGGCAACTTACGAAGCTCAACTCCATGCATCCTGGCAGGGGAAGAGCGAGAGCGCGGGCAGCAGCCTGAGGACGGCTGACCTGTGCGCCCCCGGCCCCCCCCAGTGCCTGCCTGCTGCCTGGCAGGATCCCCCAGGGGAAGAACTGGCTCTGCACACGAAGCCACCTGCCCCTTCCTCCTCTGAGGACGGGTGTACTGCAGCCCTGTGTGGTCCACCTGTGTGGACCTCACGGAGGACTGTGGGCTCTTGTGAGGGGACTTGGACAGCACCTGCTTTCTAGCTTAGGGGCTGACCTCAGGACTTGGAGGTGCGAAGTCTTCAGGGACGCTGTCTTGGCCCCACGACAGATTTCAGTGGTCATCCCCGCCAAGCCAGGGCTTTCTTGCCTCAACATGGCCTGTATTTGGGATCCTAGGTGACAACAGCTCGGCGAGGCGGGGGAGAGGCTGGCGTTCCCTGGTTCTGTCCCTCCCTGTGGGGCAGGAAGGCTGGAGGATGAGGGCGGGCTGGAGAGGAGTGGGGTCTGTGAGAAGGCCAGTGCCGGGCAGGAGGCAGGAGGAGTCCCGGGAGAGAGAGTGGGTGTAGGGGACAGCCCTCTCCTGAGGAGGCCTTCATAAAGGTCACACTGTCTGTCGCTGGTTCAGCCTCCCCAGAGGTTTGTTTTGGGTGTTCTGTGGTTGATCTGATATCAGGGCTGGAAGCCAACCCTCCCCTCCTGAGGCCTGAGCAGCCACCAGGAACTCTGTCATCCCTAGGGGCCCTGGCTAGCGGTGGAGGTGGGAGTGTGGTGGGCGGGAAACCGGTGACTGGGGCAGAGGCAAGGAGCCCCATGTAGGCGGAGCCCCAGACAGCCTCACTGAGTGGGCCAGGGCGAGGGGCCAGGGACACCTCAAACTCTGCGTTAACCCTCAGCGGGCTCCCCCTGTGGCGCCCCTCACTGCCCTCTCCTCCCCGTCAGCTGCATGCTGTCAAGGAGGCAGCACCGTGAGGCAGAGCAGGGGTGGGCACTGTGAAGCCAGTGACAGGTGGAAATCTCCAGAACTCTGTGTGACTGGGGCAGCATGGTAAGGGACAAATGGGGGGCGGTGTCACATCATGCAGGGCTGTGCAGGTGACAGAGGCCTTGGGGCTGACCTTGAGACGGGAAGTCAGCACCCCTGAAGGTCCTCACATGTGCTTTGGGGGAGAAGGTGAGGTGGAGGCAGCTGTCCCTGTTCCTGAGTCCCGAAAGGGTGGAAGGGCCACAGGAAGAGGAGGGGCATTCTCCCTGACTGACCCCTGAACTGGTGGAATCTGCCAGAGCCTGTCGCGGGATGAGAAGCAGAGAGGAGACAAGCTACAGAAACCCAGGAGGCCTGGCTCACCGACGGCAGGACGGCTGCATCGTGTCCCCCCAACAGCCCGCAAAGTCAGCTAGGGAGGTCAGAGGGCAGGGAGGCCAAGAAGCAGGCCGGAGGTGGTGCCCGACGGTGCCAGGACTGAGGCTCAGCTGATGGCGGGGCCGGTCCCTGCTCCTGGCAGCTCCACGGTGCAGCTGCATCCAGAACCATCCACAGCCCAGGGCTGTGACGCGCCTCAGAAGATGTCACTCTGGGCAAATCTAGGCCACCAGATCCCTTCCTGAGAATCCAAATCATGGCCCCATTTTCAAATGTGTGAAGGACTGGGCTTTGGAGAAAATACTCAAATTGCAGAATCTTTAGCAGAAACAATAATTTTTATGCTAAGAGGGGGAAAAGCTCAAAACCCTGTCTTTCTGACTCCAATGCCTCATCTCCCCAATGCACAGGATAAACGCTAGGAATTCTGCTTTGTAGAGGAAAAAATGTCTGTCCTATGAGAACTGTCCCAGGCCCACGTCAATACGCAGCCAACAGGAGGGGCAGAGGCATCGGGTGCCCTTGTGATCTCTAATGCAGCTCAATTATGATCGCAAGTTTATAAAACAGGCAGGGATTACAGGAATATACATTAAACCACATCAATGAATGCTACTGAGGGAAAAAAAAAAACAGATCCAGCAGACAGGTACCAATCAAATAATCAATACGCAGGAAACAGCTACATCACCCTGCTTTAAAAGAACCAAATAATGCTGCAATTGGATTTACTTAAAAATTTTCCACTTGAACAAAACTGACAGCTGTATTATAATCACATTTCCAGTCAGTTTATAAGACACAAATCTCATTTCTCCATTTCTGAAAAGTGGCCAGCAGCGTTACTCACCCGGCACGCGGAGAAGCCCGATCTGTGAGGGCCACCAACTCCTGCTTCCTGCTCCTCAGAGTCAGTGGTCTAAGTCAAACGTGACTTTCTCCTGGTGCACCCAGCTCAGAGCCCCAGTTTCCAAATGGCACAAGGAAGGGGGCAAAGACTTGGGGAGGCAGGCTGGGGAATTCTAACTCAGAGCAGCAAAATGATCTGGGGGTAGCTCAACTCTTGAAATGAAGATCATCTACGCGTTTAAAAAACAAGGTGGGTCGAAGATTTTGGGGATATTTCATTAGCCAGGGCTTTGATGTGGGGGGTGGGGAGCTGGCACTGGGAACTCTTCAAATGTACACAATGAAGGACCAACATCATTCTGTAACTCACACTCTGATTGCCTTGAATTACTCAAGACCAAGTTTAGAAATGCCGCTGGAGTTTATAAATAGCTAAAGTGGCTGCTGACACCTGAATCAGTTCAATGCGACAAGCCTCTTCCGCGAGTCAGCTCTGTGCCATGCATGGGCACCGGGACCCACTCACAGGGGGGCAACTAGTTGGAGATGCACCGCCCACAGGGAGTGGAGCTGGACAGCGACGCAGGCGAGGTGACAGAGGCAGGCTGGCCACGTCCAGGAGCTACACACAGCACCACAGCCGGGAGGGTGCACATGAACCAGGACACGGGCAGAGAGGGAGGGCGGAAGTCTCTAGGGACAGGCTCAGAGGGCCTGGCGGGGGCGGGGGTGGGGGTGGTGTGCAGCTGCTAAGGCTGATCGCTGGGAAGCCCCTGATCGTGGGGCGGGAGGGGGTCAAGAGTCACTCCAAGGTGGCAGGTCGGGGGAGGCCCACCAGGGTGCTCTACTGAACATCTCCGTTTGCAGAGGCCTGTGTGGGCTGTGCCTCCTTCAGAGACAAAAACACAGGTGGGGAGCGCAACACGAGGAGCCACCAAAGCACACTGTTCTCGGACACCTGCGTGCTGGCCTCTCTGGTTTCGTGTTAACAACACTGGTCCACTTTGGCATTGGCACTGAACAAACCACTTCTCCAGGGCCCCCGCGTGGATGCTTGAACTAAAGCACCCCGAGGCGCTCTCAGGGTCTGGCTGCAGCCTCTCCCCCACGGCCGGCGGTTTCGGTTCTCCAGCCAGCACCCACCTTCCTCAAAGTTATCTTTCCAAGAAACTCATCTGATTACTGAGCCTGTGTGACCTCTTCCACTCTCCAGTGTCTCCTGGACAGGAACAGTTATGGGCTTTGCTCTGTCAGAGGCCTACAGAGACTCTCTCAGTGTCAACCCAAGTATCTCATGCCCAGCGTCAGTCACACGGGGACAGCAAGGACGGTTTATCCCAAGCCTTCATCCACCCAAGGGGATGCTGACCATTTCCCAAAGATGCTCTTTTAATCTACAGAAGAGCCCCAAAGCAGGAGCGATGGGCTGCATTCTACAGAGAGAGGAGGAGGAGAGGTGAACGAGCTTCCCAATGTCACACAGCGGGGATTCAAACCCAGGTTCTTCTAAACCTAGGGCCTGAGCATTATGGTCCTCGATTACAAAATGTTAGATTTTTAAGGACCTGATCTCCTTCTTGCCCCCTCCTTAAGCTTTTACTTTGAAAAAGTTTCAAACTTCCAGAAAAGTTTAAAGAACAGGAAAGTGAACACACTTTTATTTTCTGAGTCATTCCAAAGCGTTTGTATCGGACGCTTGACTCCTAAACATTTCAGCCTGGACTGGCCAAGGAGGCCTTGCGAGGACTCACTCTCTCACCCAACCATCCGGCACAATCACACCCAGCAAATGAAATGCTGATCTCAGTTACACAAATCCACATGCAAACTCTCAATCTCCAGAAAAATTTCCTAAAAAGCTACTTTTTAATTTTCTCAATCCAAGATCTGATTCACGTTGATGGTTAGCGTGTCCCTCTACCTTCAAAATCAAGAAGAGGACCCCGCTTCCCACGCCCTTTTGAGGGGTGTTCTTCCAGGACGATTTCTCTGCTTGGTAGAATTAGCTCCACACTCGGCCTGCTCCTCTCCGCCTTCGTTGTGCGGGGGACGGAGCCCGGGCGTGTGCATGCCAGGCCAGCACTCGACCGATGAGCGACAGGTCTAACGTCCCGTCAGCTCTCTTCTGGCTTTGTTTTTCACTGTCTTCACTATTTGTGCTGTTTTATCATTTTCACCGGGACCATGACAATGACAGGGCCAACCCAGGGAGGGGACTTTCCAGAACTGACGGGACCAGGCTGCCACTGGCCCTCCGAGACAGATCAGTGAGCTCACTTTCTCCCACACTTGGAATCGCACCACTGACCCGGAGACCAGTTGCCCGGCGCTCGATGCTTCCACTCTGCCTAAAAGCTGGTCTGCGAGGGAGCTGGCGGCGCAGACAGGACGTGAGCAGCTGGGGAGATGGGGGTCCTGCACGGGCTTCGGGGACCCTCCTGCTCACACTCATCCACGTCAGCAGTGAAGGAGGATGAAGAAGGGGACCTTGGCTGGATCTCGAACGTGGCCGAGAACGTGGAGGACGGGCCTCGCGTGAGCTTCCGTGGCCTTCAGAGCCCTGCAGTGCTTGCTCTGGGGAAGGATGGATTTGGGGGGACAGGGGGTCCCTGAGGTGTCTGAAGAAAAACAAGGAGGCAGGTAGGGAGGTGGTCATGGTGCTGCTCAGCCTCGAGGGTCAGCGCTCTGCTCTTTATCGGGAGGGGGCTGGAGGGTCACTTGGAACAAAGACAGCCCTGGCTTCCCGTCTGCACTGAAGGCGCAATGGTGCAGGCCAGGCTGAGGAGGAGCGGCGCCAGGCAGGGGCGGCTCGGAAGAGGCCACTTCAGCACCCGGGTGAAGGTGGTGGCCGTTCAAACCAGGGTGCTCGGGGAGAGTGGGGAGGGAGCTCAGGCCTGGTGGCGCTCGGCGGCAGCAGAAAGAGGAAGCTAAGGATGAGCCCCAGGTTGTGCCTCCAGATCAGCTGCGAGGGGAGGGCTGCCGGGCGGTTCTGCGGGGAAGACCGAGTTCTGACCTGCCATTAAAGCACAGTATGTGGCTTGGTCACCTGTGCTATCTCTAGACAAGACGGTCCCTCACTCTGAGATGGCGTTCTACCTACTTGCCTAACACTAAACTCCTTTCTTTTATGGAATAATAGTTCATAAATGCTTTTTAAATTTTGGTTATTACTAATTTTTCAGACATAGGGTCTCGCTATAGCCCAGGCTGGCTTTGAACTCCTGGGCTCAGACAATCCTCCTACCTTGGTCTCCTGAGTACCTGGGACTATAGACACACACCACCCTGACCATAAATGCCTTCATTAAAAGTGAATAAATAAATAAAGTCTGCTTGGTTAAAGAACAAGGTGGCAATTCTACCTACCTTTTGTTTTGAGACCTTCCTGGGCTGTGGACTCCCAAGGTCCTAGGACGGATATCTCCAGCCCCAGGACGGGAAGTGTCCAAATCTAGGAAAGCCATCAGACACCCAGCCCAGACCTGCCGACTTGTAGGCAATTCTCTGGAGGCTCTGCACCTTCTCTTATGGACCACACAACGAAGGGACCGACAGTCTTCCCTGGGTTAAAGCAGGTAGAAGTGGAAATGTCTCCCACCTGTGGGACGGTTGCAGATGTCTCAGTCAATGGAAAAGGACACAGGCATAACCTGGACGGTTCTCAGACCTACGAAGTGATGCGGGCACTGCTGCCGAGGGGCCACGGCTGGGGCTTCCTGCCTGCCCTCGAGTCTCCTTGAGCTCCCTCCCAGCACCCTCACCTGGCCACGTTCCCAAGCTCCAGCTGTGCCAGGCCCTGTTCCGAGCACGACGCGCACACTGCTCACTCAGCTCTTCCGAGACTGTCCTACAGAAGGGAGGCACCAGGAGAGGAGGCGGCTCGCCCATGGGGACACAGCAGGCTGGGGCTCTTCAGTCCTGCACGCTGAGCCCACACGCAGACCTCACCTGGGACCCCTGACCTGGCGATGCCAGCTCCAGAGGTGGAGTGCACTTTGAGGCCAGGGGTCCCTGTGGGAAAGCCTGAGTCGACTCTTGGCTCCTCCTGGCCACTGCCCCATTGTTCCCAGCATGTTGGCCACACCCACAAACAGCTCAAGGAATGAATGGGTTTTCATTGAAGGGGTTTGCGGGTCGATTTTGTAAAAATCAGAACACAAGACTCCACACGCATGCAGGACATGCTCTGGCCGCAGCTGCGTGAACGTGAGTGCCCGCGTGAGTGCCCGCGTGAGGGGGCAGAAGGAAACGGAAACGCAACATGCCCGGCGGCCTGCTGTCTCTGTAGGGCGTCTGGAAAATGGGCACATTTCTTCAGTACGGGGATGGCTTGTGGTATCTGGGAACAGGCAGGAGCCTGGGGTTCCTCCTCAAAGGCTATTTGTCCTTAGAGGACTCACCAGTAGTGAGTCACACGGCCTCCAGCCCAAGCCACTGGAGCTGCCTTTCCTAACCCCCAACAGTGCCACCACACAAGCGATGGACTGGCTCGAATACTTCAGGGTACAGCTGTGGTTCAAGAAAGGAGGAGGTCCTCGGTGCGCAGCCGCCCGACAGCCCCTCGTCCAGCTCTTCAGCGCAGCCGGGCGGCTCTCACGGAACACTTCCTTTGGACCAAGCTCAGCGCTGCGTGCTTGACACACATGATGCTCCCAACAGCTCTCCCTAGAGGGTCTCCTAGAGCCATTTTAAAGGCAAGGCCACTGAGAGTCACAAGCATCAAGACCCTGGGAAAGTCACAAAGCTCATCATTTCCAATCACACCAGAGGTGGTCAAATCGCCTGTCCATGGGCCAGGCAGAGAGCACACGGGTGGAAGAACATGGGCCCTACCTCCAGGGGAAGCTCCCGTCCCCACATTCAGCCCAAAGCAGCAACCAGGGCTGGGGGCACTTGGGGTCTGCAAATGGTGGCGACCAATTCAATTAAAGAGAGTAGGAAAGAGTCCTTGTCTGGTAGGGAAGTATTCAGAGATGCAATAACATCACACCTTCTGTGTGCTTGGTGCACTGAGTGGGCGGGCTGTCTCAGAAAGCATGATGGTGGGAAGAGAAAACACAATTTTGCAAAATGGTCAACAACCGGGAGTCTAAGAGCCGGCGTGCGGAGTCAGGGCGCTGTTCTCTCTGAAACACACCTGTCCCACCTGGTCCCCCTCCCTCCTTCTCTGCCCCTCCCCTCCCCTCCCCTCCCCTCCCCTCCTCTCCCTCCTTCAGCAGGCTCAGCCAGCTCGTGGCCCTCCCGCTGCCTCCTCTCCACCAAAACCCAGGACAGGCTTCCCTTCAAGCATCACCAGGGTGCTTCTTTCCTAAGTGGGGACATCTTTGCTGCTCCATGGCAGAGGCCATCTTTTGTGCCAAATGCTTGAGCTGACCAGCCTGGGCTGGTTGCTGGGGAGTGTGCTCACACTGAGGTTTCTTATCAAGTGCAAGGAGGTCAGTAAATACTGCTCCATGCCACCGTTCCTGCCGCGTGGAGCCGGGTTCTTTAAGCCCACCAACCGTACCGAAGGCGATACCAGCTGACCAGCCCCAGACACCTCGCCCTGAGCTGGCTCCTTACCCCACAGACAGATGAGGCGTGCCCACTTCCAGCCATCCTGCCTCCCGGCATGCTCCACAGTTTGACACACAGAAGGCATTTTGTGCATTGAAAAGTAACGGTGATTTTTAGCCCATGGTAAGTGAGGAGCTCTAGTGTTTACAAACAAAATAGCCCTTTTTACAGTTGAAAGCTCCAAAACTTCAAACTTCCTCAAATTGAGGGTAGAAGCTGGAGGGCTGCCCTGCGGGCCTGGGAGATGTGCCCCTGCCCAGCCCGTCTAGCACAGCCTAATTAAATCCACACACAGAGTACCTCCTGGCTTTGGTTGTTTTAAATTGTAACCACTTCTATGGGACCTGCAGAGAAGCAATCGAGCTACTTCTGCCCAGTTTGATCAAACCGCATTAGATTCGTTTTTTTCCTTTTTCTATCATTTGCATATTTCTTATGTGGTTGGGTGGCCAAATCCAACCAGCTAGGATCCAGGCAGGGTCCCTGGATTTGGCTGCCAGTAACACAATCCCAAGAAAACAAAAAACGCCAACCAACAACACATGCTCTTATTTTAGTATCATGTGCTTTTAAAATCCATAATCCCAGTATTTTCTGAACGCCACCCTCTTCAGCAAAAGACATAATTTGCAATCAGGCTGGGTAAAGACAGACAGCCATTACTTTCTTAATGGCCAACTACCCAAAAAGGCTCAGTTAAGTGATCTCAACTAGCAATCTAATCAATTAAAATTGATAAGTGAAATACTTTTAACCTTTATTTCAGCAGGCCATTCCTAGGGGGAGGAGAGAAGGAATGTGAATTCCCAGCATAAAATTTAATTCCATTTCACGGATGAAAACATTCTCAGTGCTGCTGGAAGGCCCCTTAAAGCAAGCTGTTTCCCTTCCTCTCCTGGATCAAAATGAGAAAGACTGGCTTAAGATCCTCTCCAGCCGGCTCCATCAATTCACAGGAATCACTGTGGCCATTTCTCAATGGACAAAGGGCCAAAGGAGATGGGCGCAGAGAGGTCAGGGATTCTTTGTTCTCCAAAGAAAGGGCAAGATCACAGACCATGAACCAGAGGGAGGCCAGAAAGAAGGAATCAGACGGGTAACAAGCACAGCGCTCACGGAGGACTGTCGGTGTGTGGGGCAGCGCGACACACTCTTTATGGCGAGGCGGCCTTTAACTAGCAGGTCCCACCACCTACAGCCTGCTGAGTACAGTTGTGTGCGAGGTATGACACCTGCTCATCGCACGTCATATCACACTTCCCTGGCTCCTCAGAACAACCTGTAGTGTAAGAACGGCCAACCCCAGTGTGTGGGCATGGGGTGCTGGGGACTGTACCCAAGGCCTCGCAAATGCTAGGCAAGCGCTCCACACGGAGCTACACCTGAGCCCTGACGGTCCCCCCACTTTACAGGTGGGGAAACGGGCTGTGGAGGTTTTGGTCATCTGTTTAAGGAGGTGCACAGCAGGGCAGGGCTATCAGTCACAAAAGATAGTACTTAAGAATCCGTATCATGATCTTACTGAACAGGTTAGCCAAAACCTTCTGAACCATACACTAAAGTTTGCCAGATTTTGCTGTGAATAAACTATATCCCAATAAACTGATTTAAATCAGTCAATAAAGTTACCTTAAAATAACAATGCCATCACCTCAGACAATGGCCACCCATTGTTGCTGCCTGCCCAGCCCCCACCTCCTCTTTAGGGTCACTCTTTGTGGGTCCCTCCTTCCTAACGCCCAGGCTAGGGAGTTCTGAAGGAACGGCCCACCCTCCCAGCTCTGGGCTGGCTGTGTGACCCGCTGAGACAGTCAGCGTTGCACATGCTCTGAGCACGCCTGGCTCAGGAGGGCTGCGACCTAAGCCAGAGCAGCGATGGCTCCACCCCAGGCTTCTGTGACGTTTGGAGCTGCTGAGCTGCTGCAGCAAGCCTTGGGCTGCTAGTGGCTGTCCTGCCGCCACCTGGTGAAAGCCCTCCTGGGGAGGAGAGCCCAGGGTCAACAGGGCTGCTTCTCAGGCTGGGATCCCAGCAGCGTGGGAGGCTGAGGCAAGAGGATCACGAGTTCAAAGCCAGCCTCAGCAAAAGGCAAGGCTCTAGGCAACTCAGCGAGAACCTGTCTCTAAATAAAATACAAAACAGGGCTGGGGGTGGGGCTCAGCGGTAGAGCACTCCGCGGTAGAGCATGTGCAAGGCGCTGGGTTCCATCCTCAGCACCACATAAAAATAAAAAAATAAAGATACTGTGTTCGACTACGGGGGTGGGGGGGCTGCTTCTTGGTGGTATTGAGTGCTCAGAGCCAGCTGTGCCTTACCACAGAACTACTCCTGGATTTTCCAGATCATCAGCCAGTTCTCCGGCCTTACTCCATGAGCAGCCTAATTTTCCACCGCTTACGATTCCGTACTGGTGATATGCTGTAACGCTTTTCATAGAAAACCGTGTTGTCCTTCAGTGTGCGCATGCCCCGTGGTGGAAGGAGGAAAAAGAAAGCTTCAAGGAGATGGGTTCTGGCCTCTACACGCTGTCTCCTTTAAATCTCTGCCTCATATTGCAGATGAGAATACTGAGGCCCTGCCAGGTCCAGTGAGCAGCCTGAGGTCACGGCTGAGCACGTGGTCCTTCGGCCTCCCGAGCCTCACCCTCACCTGAACACTGCTGACCTGCTTCCTTTCTGTAGGAGCAGAGTCCTTCCCTCATGGACGACGCAGGAAGCCCAGACACAACACTAGTCAAAGCCATGCCGGGCTGGTGTTCGGAGGGCAGGGGCCCTGTGTTCCAGAGAGCAGAACCTGCAGACTGACATCTACGGGCCTAGAACCTGCGGCCCTTATCTTCAAAACTTTCAGGTGACAAGCATGCACTGGCTCACAGGCACAGGTCGGTGGCAGTACATGAGGTAGGCCCCGCACCATCCTCACACAACGAGGTGTGACTGTGTCCCCACCCCCTGGGCCGACTCACTCAGGTCCAGGACGTCGTCGGTCTTGATCAGGTCCTCCTCCCGGGTCAGCGGCAGCTGGGTCTCCGGCTCCCCTCGCAGCTGCAGCGACAGGGAGCGCAGCGTGAAGAACACCCGGATGGCCTGCACGAGAGAGCAGAGGGGGCTGCAGACGTCCCAGCGAGGGGCACCCAGAGAGGGGCACCCAGCGAGGGGCAGGTCACCCGTGGCTACGGAGAAGGGAGAACCACACAAAGCAGCGCCAGGCCACCGTCACAGCAGAAACCAGTTCAGAGGAATAAGCGGACTCCAGGCCAAGGGCCATGCGCTTCCTCTAGAGAGGAAAACGGAGAAGAGGCGGGAGAGGCGGAGCTCAGGAAAATGAAGGCAGCCGGGGAGGAAGGGGAGCGCTGGGGAGGGTCCTGGCTAGGTCCCACGGCGGGCACACGAGGACGCGCCACAGCACACGCCGCCACCATGTGCAACTACAAAGCACTGACAGAAAGACAGGGGGAAAGAGACAGGTCACCCCCGTGTTCAGGTCTGGAGCACCTGTCACCTGCCAGGACTGACTCTCAAGAGTCACATGACCTGGACGCATATTCTGCCCCCGCAGTCACCACCCGAGACAGGCAACTGAGACTCAAGGAGGTGACAGGAGCTGCCTATGGCACGCCCCTAAGGAGGGCTGGAATCCAGGCCTGTTCCAGTGACACCGCAGGCTATGGAGACCCACCCGGCTCGGGAGAGCCTTTCGAGGTCCTCCCCACCGAAGCAGGAGCGGGGAGCCGAGCAGGGAGATGCACGTGGTCTTCAGAGACAATTAAAATCCTGGCTCTGTCCTCCAGGGACAGTCCCTCCACGGTAGCCCCTTGGCTTACGGTGGGGACTGTGCTGCTGACAGGGCTAAGGCCTGGCCCCGGGAAGGTGTGCACTGATACTCCTGAACCTGCCAGCACAGGATTCCCGATCCAGGCCGGGCTGCTGGTCAGAGTCCAGGGTGGCCGCCAGGCATCTCCAGAAAGGACAACAAGGCAGAGTCCCGGAAGCCAGTGAGGTCTGCAGAGAGCAGCCTTCAGCCTGCCACCTGGGCCAAGAAGCATGAGGCAGTCCCCAAGAAACAGCACCTCCAGGCTGCTCCCCCCGACATGGAATGACACGCCCAGCGGGGGACAGACAGGTCTGCCCTGGACTCCCAGCTCCACTGTGCTGGGCAAGGCCCCTGACTCCTGTGGGCCTCATTTTCCTCATCAGGGACGTGGGCACAGCAATCTCTAATGTCCAGGGCCATGGACAGCCCTGAGATAAACGCTGGACAGGAACAACCAGCACAGCTCTCCAAACAGGGGCAGCCATCCACCCACTTAACAGATGCCACCGGGACACAGAGGAGGATGAAGGGACAAACCACTGTCACCACAGGTGACCTGCACAAAGTTGAACTCCAGCAGGCCTCCCACAGATGCTGAGAAGGACAGCCCTGGCCCACGTGAGGTGCCTCCCAGGTCTTACACGGCCTCGTCAGGTCCTGGGCATGAGGCTGCTCGTCTGCCCACTTCCTTGCTCCTGGGTCCTGCCTTGGTCCCCACCTGGTGGGACACCTTGGACCAGTCTCCTGCGGAGGACACTGGAAGGGCACTGCCCTCCTGAAGCACTGCATCTTCTCTGCGCAGCACAAAGCTCTGTGCTGCGGTGGCAGCGGTGGCAGCAGTGGCAGCGGTGGTGGCACTGGGGTCTGACCTGAGCTCTTAGCAGTACAGATTGTAAAGTACAGTTTCCATAAAGACAACTGTGAACTATCAGATTTGTCCCAAGAGGTGGAGTTCTGTTAAAAAATCAAAAGAGCTTACATTTACTAAGCACCTACTGTCTACCAGGGGCTGGGGGTACCGCCGTGAACTTCAAGGCCTCAGGGAAGAAAGAGAGCTGCGTGGGCAGAGTGACCTCAGGTCCCACAGATGCTAAGTGGCTGAGACTCAGCAATGTCAGGTGCGTGTGTCCCTCAGCCCTGTGCCAGCCCAGCATAGAAGGCTCAAGATGTGGGAGGTCACTGGGAACATATGGCAGTTTGAACTCTCAAATAAGGAGACATGACCTTGGGAATGTGGAGAGGGGAAGAAAAGGCCCAACCAGGCAGGTCCCACTCAAGGGGGCCTCATGTCCCTGGCCCCTCCTCCTGGGGCTCTAAAGGCGGACGCCAGCAGGACCAGAGTGGAGATGAGAAAGCAGAGGTGCACCACTGTCTCCTCCGCCCAAGCCTGGGGAAGCCGAGGCCGTCCAGCACACACGCAAGGAGCCTGGACCTGGCGCCCAACACAGGCCTCTTGGCAAGACATCTGCTTTTGCTCGGCAAACAACAAATGGAAGATATTTCCAGGAATACAAACAAAAAATAAAGCTACTTAAAATATAAAATACAACATAAAACATATAAAAGGAAATCCCACTACTTTTCCTAGTTTCTGCCCCAACTTCCAAGAGTAGAAAGAGTGCTCTTCAAAGTCAGGGGTGGGCGGAGGGGCAGACTCCCACAGGCAGGTGCTCCCTGGGGACAGAAGCCACCTCCCATGGGGGTCTATGAGGGCCTGGCAAGCATGTTGACCAGCGCCACGGTGCCCAAAACCCACCAAGAATGATGGGCCACGAGGCTGAGGGTCACACACTCCACGCCACCACCTCCTGGAACAGCAGCACTCTGGTCACCGCAGCCTGCCGGGGACCGTGCGGGCTGTGCGGTGTCCCCTCCTCAGGCCTTCTAACAACCCTGCGTGGCTCCCATCTTACAGACAGAGAAACCAGCGCTCAAGGATGTTAGCTCCTGCCCAAGGTCACTGGGTGCAAGACTGCCTTCTAAGTCTGTTCTTCCAACCATACTTCTTGGTCTTCAGAAGAGTCAAGCCAGGGCCTGGGACCCTGGTTTTATTGAGTGCTTCTCTTTTCTTTTTGCTGAATAAAGATGCAAGCTTAAAAGCATAAAAGAGAATAATAAATTATTATTCTTTCAGGTTTTTTCATAGAATACCAAGGAGGACAGATTCACTTTTGAAAAGCAGGGCCAGCCAACCAAGCTCAAATCTGAACTGCGTTCTCCTGTTTCCTCGCTTCAGTGAATCTGGAGGAAAACCCTGGCAAGCGCAGTGCTTCCGGGGAAGGAGTCCAGGGAGCAGGGGCGGGAGGCGGATCTGGAGTCAGACAGACCTTGGCTCAAGCTGGGCCTTTAGGTGAACACACGGATTCCCTGAGGCCCGCTAGTGCTCCGGAAATGGGGTGCCGTGAGGCGTGAGAGTGGAGGGGCAAGGAGAGGGGCAGAGGTGTGCCCAGCATAGATGGGGGTGGCCCTGGCTCAGCTCTCAACCCCTCTGTCCCTGCTGTGTGAGTGAGGCGCTCAGTGTAGGCGACAGTCACTCAGATTAGAAGCCTACCGAGGCCACGGAAATGGCTGTGAAAGTCAGTCATCGCTAAGGAAGTGCTGAGGCAGTTTAAGAGGAGTGCGACCCACGGAAAAGCAACGTGGCAGTGTGCAGGGGCACAAAAAGACGTTCACACCCTCCGAACCAGAAATGCCGTCTCTGGGAACTTATCCCAAAGAAACATGCAAAAGAAAAAAGAGGCTGTATTCATGAAGCAGCTCATAACAGCTCAGTTGAAAATAATGTAACAGTGAAAGCAACCAAAATGCCTACTAGCAGGAAAATGCCTAAGTAAACTATGGCAGAAGTTGCCAAAAAGCCTTTATGCAGTCACAAGACAGCCGTTTACGGCCACTGTCCCATGGGCTCCGGGTGCCGCTGGTGGGGGGGCACTCGCCCAGCACGCGGAGGCTCCGGGTTCCATCCAGCACCGCAAAACAAGCAAGACCAAAACTGCACTGTGACAAACCTTCCTGTGCTACATGGAAAGCGTAGAAGGGGGCAGGGGACACAAGCAAGGCCAGGGCTCACTTCTGCCACCTTGAGAAGACAGTGCATGAGCAAAAGCGGCAGGAGACACAGGATCTGCCCACCCCTGCTTGGTCACGGAATCTGGGAGCTCTTCCCCGAGACTGGAAATGTTGGGCTGTCACTGCTCTTCTTCTCTGTCACACAGCCAAAGAGTAAAGCAAAAGGCCCCACATGCTCAAGGTCACTGGTGACAAACACGAGACCTGCTGGGTCGACGAGGGGACAGGGAGAGACGCGGGACGGTGGGCCAGCACTCCTGCGCTCCCCGCTCCGAGCTCACGGCAGGAAGAGGGCAGAGCGGGGCTCGGAGGCCTACCCCTTTCCTCCAGCAGTAAGCCTCAGGCCGTCTGTGGGCCGCGTGTGGACTGTGGCGCACAGCGGCCTCCGGAGGAACTCCCTGGGGCACTCCCCACAGGGACTGACCCCTGATGTGGGTGAACTTCCCCCTCAGCTCTGCCCAAGATCCCACACAGCACCTGAGAGGACCTGCCAAGATGCCAATCACCTGCTGACCGCACGACATAAAGAAGCAAGACTCCGCCCTTGAAGCCTGACCCCTGCCTTTGATGTACCCCTTAAATAAACCACCAGAGCCAAGTTGTCTTTGTCTAGTTCAAGAGCCATGTGGACTCTCAGGGGCTTTGCTTTTATAAATATATTTCTGAGTGTCTGTGTTTTAGTATTTGTTAATTATTAGAGATATTAAGATTTAGGGTGGCCATTTAGGGTGGCTTGGACTCCTCTGGGCAGAAGAACCCCCCAAATGAGACGTGACCGTCTTCCCTCCCCCAAAAGGTTCAGAAGGCTGGAGATCCTAGCCTTGCCCTCCCGGGGGCCAAGTGCTTCACCTGTACAGCCCACACCCAAGCGCCCACTGTCTGCCAGCTGCTGGGCCGCTCGCTTCTCAGCTGCACTCTCATCTCCTGAGGGGAAGAGCTAAGGGGCAGGGTCCCTGAGGAACTTCAGGATCAGGGAGGTTAAGAAACGTGCTCGAGGTCACACAGCTAGTGTTGGGGTTTGGGCCATGGATGCTCTGAGGCATGAACTTGCATTCTTTCTTAGCAGCCTCTCTCAATTGCCCCTATGTGCAGGGTGGCTCCGGCCCAGTTCAAAGTTCTGCGGGAGTGTTCCCATCAGACCCATGAGCTCCCGTGACCTTTCTTCATCATGAACTTCCCCTTGAGGCTGGCGTGGCTCAGGGGCACTCTTGCTGTTTTGGTCTGAGCACCTCCTGTCCCTGGCATCTTGCACATGCCTGGCACCTAGAAAAGGCTCAACAAATATGTCGAGTGAAAGAATGACTGGGGTAAGTCATGAAGGGCAAGGGGAGGACGGCGGATAGCCAGGTGCCTCTCCAGGCCTGCCCCCCCCCATCCTCTGCCTCCACTGGTGCTCCTGGGACACGCGGCCCTCTCTGGCACCTCAGGACTCTGCATGGGCTGTTCCCCGCCTGGAAAGTGCCTCCTTTAACTCTCCTGGCTCCTCTTTGTCCTTTGGGCTCTACTCTGAAGTACCTCTGCAGAGCAGCTTTGGCTGCTCCCGCTGCTAAGAGCCTCCTGTCACTCAGCCCACGCCCTATCTGGCCACAGCTCCCTGCAGCCTTGACTGCAGCCTGCCATCCATCCTGCTACCAGGGGCTTGTTAACAGAGTTCACCGCCAGGTGATGAGAGGATTCCAGGAGGCAGGACACCTGTCCTGTCACTCCTGCGCGCCAGGCACAGCCCAGCATTTTTGGCATGTGGGAATCCAACGCCTCTTTGACGGATGTGTGAATCAATACTCGACAACTTAGGAGAGATTCACCAGTGAGGGCTGCTTGAACTATCTGATGAGTCCTTGAGGAAAATAAAGGGTGGATTTATGAAAAGGACCAGTCTCCTAAAAGTAAAGTCTATTTGGTAAAAAAAAAAAAAAAAAGACATTAAAGACACTGATTGAATCAAAAGAGGTGAGAAGGAATGTTCTTTGAATACAAGCAAAAACCCTGAAACAAACCCCTAAGCCCCTAGCTGCTTGCTAAAGCATATACTCAAACCCAAAGAACACTGCTACGTTCTGATTTCTGAAAGGGGCTTGGGGGTGGGGCGGCTAAGCTTCCAGATGATTCTAGACAGAAGTCTTGCAGTAGGAACTGGACTGAGACAGTAGCCAACACTCTCCTTCAAAACCGGATTCTTGAATCACAAAAGGACGCTTTGCCGTGGTGGACAGCTTTGCCTTGAGGGGTCTGCCCTATTTTAATATCCTCCTGCTACCACCCGGGGACTGGGGACTGGGGACTGGGGACTCTGGGGCTGCTTTGGTCGACTGGTCAGACATACAAGGCCTAACAAGAGATCCCAGGAAGTCCAGATGCCCCCAGGGCTCGATCTGCACTTCAGTTGGGCACTCAGGCTGTGCATTCCATCTGGGACAAGGGAGGCGGGTGGCCCGGCCCCAGGAACCTGCAACTAGATGAAATATGAGGGGAAGGGGAGGGAAAGAGCCAAGAGCACCAAGGACTTGACAGTGGCCTTTTGTGTGTCTGCCTTCCATGGACACCTCACATAGCTCTGGAGACAGGTGAAGAGACAATGGCCCACAGTGGACACACAACCTCCCCTAGGCCACAGACCTGCCTGCTCACCCTTGAATTTCTCCCATTGCCCTCTTATGGATAAGACCTTCTGCCCCAACCAAAGGCATGTGATGTCATTAAACAGAGCTAAGAAGTAACAGCCAGGTCCTCGCCAGGCTCCAAGGGCCCCCTGCCAGCACCCCCACCCCCCGGCCTCGTCCTTTTTCATAGACCTCAGGACGTGCCACTCCTCTCTGGGCCTTGTCTTCTCCCAGCTGCCCAGCCCTCTCCTGCACAGGTTTGGCTTAAGGGCCACCCCCTCTGGTGCCTGCTCCTCACCCCAGGTGGGATTAGGGACCCAGTCTCAAGCCACTTCAGTGCCGGCCCAGCACCTGGACCCTGCTGCCTTCCCCACCTTGCCCTGGGGGACTGGCTATGTTTGATGTCCTGTGTCCAGCTCAACCAGGGCTAGTGGACAGGATGATGGCTGCAGGAAGCAGCAGTGGGACAGAGTGCCTGAGCCTGGGCTCTGGAGGCCACGCTGCCTGGCCAGCTCCTGACTCCCGGGTGGCTTCGAGGACGCTGGCTCACCTTCTCGTCTCAGAAGCTCCCTCTGGGCAGTGGGGAAACAACAGTGGCCACCTCCGAGGGTGGGGGTGAATTAAATAAGGCAATCCATGTAAAGAAGTGCTACTGAGAGTTATTTTAGGGGCTGGGGCTCAGTGGTAAAGCACTTGTCCAGAATGTGTGAGGCACTGGATTCGAGTCTCAGCACCATAAATAAATAAATAAATAAATAATAAGGTTCCATCAACTAAAAAATGTTTTTGAAAAAAGTGTTATTTTGTAACAAAAGATGTTAAGAAGAGTAAGAGCCTGATCATCAAGGCCACAGCTCCCCATCTTCAGGCACTGCACCTTCCGCTTCAGGACCCGGAAAGGGCCTCTGAGCTCTGGGGACACTGGAGCCCCAGGCATGTGCGTCCCGTTGGTACTTGCCAGGGAATGCCCCTCAGGCCAGAGGCTGAGGGCAGCTGCCAGCCCCCAGGAGGAGCCCCCACGGTCTGTTACTCAGAACTCGTCTCCAGGAGCGCTGACACCAAGGGTGCCAGTGCACACAGTGCCCCACCAACAGAGCCACGGGCTGGCCAGCGGGCTGCAGTGCTTGCTGGAGCATGAGGAAGATGGGCATGCGCGGCCCGGCCAGGGTGGGTCCTGGGGCGAGGTCTGTGGGTTTGCTCAGACAACCGGAACTGTGGATCAACTCAAGACCCGCGGGCCCACTTCCTCTGCACCTCTCGGCCATAAAGACAAGAGCGCAGCTGGCGGGGGGGGGGGGGGGGGGGGGGGGGGGGGGGCGGCTGCAGATCCCTCTTGTCCGGGTGCACGCAGCAGGTCACTCCCACTTTCCAGACTCCCCAGGTAAACCACCTCTGCCACTGCAGGCCCACACAGATGGCCCCAGAAGATGTGGCTGATGACCAGAGTCAGGTGCAATGAGCTCCCCTAAGTCGCCCCCTGATGTTCCCGTCTCTGGGAGTGATTTTCTAGGAAAAGGCTGTGGTGCTTTCTAAGAAAGACACCGTGATCACAGGGGGAGATAAAGTACCATGAAGCCCTGCTGCGCCGCTTCCTAGAGCGCCACCACGGAGAAAAGTGCTGATAACGGAAGCGCACGCTCCAGCCACTTCTGAGAACTGATCTGCCCTCCACGCCCGCCTCTCCTCTCCACAGGCCCCCAGAATCATACTTTCACTTGCGTGTGCCTAGCCCCAAGATCTGTCAGATACCTTAACGGCACGCCATCTCTGGGGGTCCTGAGATCTCCGGGCAGCCTTCACGCCCAAATCACCTGCGCTGCAGGTTCCGAGCTCACCCATTGGTCTGCAGAAGCCCAACCTCCTGGCTTCCGCTCTGGGAGCTCGGGGCTCAGGCTGCGCTCTGCCGTGCCAGGCAGCGGGTGTGCAGCCCACAGTGCTGCCAGGGCCATGACGTTTTCAAGGGCAACTCCCTGGGGAGAGCATCGGCTGGTGGAGGTTCTCTCTACCCAAGACTGAGCTCACGTTCAACACAGAGTCTTGACTTGGACCACGAGATCTGTCCCTGCCCGCCTGGCAACGGTTCTGGCCAGGGCTCACTCACCCTCCTTGTCTTCTCCACGTCACCACACGGCAGTCGCTTCACAAAGTCAATGCCTGTCAGCGGCGTGCCTGTCGGGGGCAGCAGGATGGAGGCGTCCATCATGAGATACTCCACATTCATGGGCTTCATCTAGGAGAGAGACATCACAGGAAGCCTCTAAGAAGGTCCCGCACTTGGGAGGGCAGATGCATGAGCAAGGTGCCCTCTGTGTTTTCTAAGTTGCAGATTTTTTCTTTAGGTGAAGCCAAGGGTGCCAGGCATGGAGGTCACACCTATGATCCCAGCCACTCAGGAGGCCAAGACAGGAGGATCACAAGTTCAAGGCCAGCCTTAGCAATGTAGCAGGCCCTGTCTCAAGACAAAAAAAGGGCTGGGGATGTAGCTCACTGGTAAAGTGCCCCTGTATTCAGTCTCCACCATGGGCCCCCGAAACAGGGAAGCTGGGGCTACAGCATCACTCATTGCAGGCTGCCTCTCTCTTCTTTTGGGCCCTGTGAAGTACCTTCCTTCAGAGGTCTGAGGTCTCCCACCTCCAATACCTGTATTCCAGAGCAGGGGCAGCACCCTGTTTTGGCCGTGGGATGCCCTCAAGCCTGGGCCTTCCGGCAGCACTTCTCGGCCTGCCCCACTTGCTCACAGCTCCCCTGCTGCTCACAGCCTCCCCTTGGGTGCCCTGCAGTCCGCCACCGGAGGCCAGCCTCAGGGCCACTGCACCTCTCGCATTAAGCTAAGGAGAGCGGGGGAGCACCCAGAGCCAAGGCCTGGTTTGGGCCCCTCCTCGGGCACTGCAGCAGCATTCAAGGCCCGTCCACATCTGGTTTTACTCAGGGGCCGAGTTCCCAGGCCTGAGCCGAGGACGGACTCCAGCTGCAGTTCCAGGGCGTGTCACTGTCGCATTTTTCTAGAATGCCAGGCATTGGGCAGTAAACAATGGATTAAAACAAACAAAACCCAGGAAAGCGCCCTAGGGTGGGAAGGGAAGGGAATGGACACTGGACACTTTTGCCCACGGAGGCTGCATGAAGCTTCCCCGCAGGGTATTCTGCACTCATCCTGGCTCTGTCACGTGGCTTCATTGTACAGACGAGAGAAATCAAGGCTCCGAGTTTAAGCAACTTGCCCAACGTTGTACAGTAAGCACACAAAAAACGCAAACAAGCTTTCCCACATGGCAAGTGACATGTGGAAATTTACATTTCCAAACAGGAAACCAAACTATGGAGAATGACAGTGTAAAAGGAGGAGTCGGGGATAAGATGAAACGGCAAATAATCCCCGAATCCGTTCCATTTTGATTACTCTTCCGAAGAGCGCAAGTCTGAGCCGTGCTTCTGAAGGGCTGGAGGGGACAGAGGACTGTGTGCACCAACAGGAGCGAGGCAGTCGTGGAAGCCCACACAGCACGGGAGGCCTGGCTGCTGGCCGCTGCTGGGTACCTCTTAGAGCCTTGAAAGGCCCCGGCGAGGCCTCAGGGCGTGCAGGGACTGGGATGATGTGCTGAGGCCTGCGGCTCAGAGCCCAGTGCACGGACCCTGAAGCCAGGAGACACTTAGCCACACTGTCGTTTTGACATTTTAAACACATTTATTATGAACAGTCCCAATCACTTCCTACTTTGGTGAGTAACGTCCACAAAAAGGAAAATTTGTCATCTGTTTACTGAGTGCAGGTTCTCTCTACCCAAGACCTGAGCTCACGTTCAACACAGAGTCTTGACTTGGACCACGAGATCTGTCCCTGCCCGCCTGGCAACGGTTCTGCTCAGGGGCAGGGGCTGGGGACGCAGAGACAGACGAACAAACAGAAAGCTGTTATCTCCTGCGTGGTGGCTTCCCAAGACTCACTGCCTGCCGGAATGTGCCGGGCAGTGGCAAAGCAGAAGACACCACAGAACACAGGGACAGGAAGGGACTGTAAGGCCAGATGCTCTGCTGGAGGAAGGCTGGCTCTGCCACTCATTAGCGGGACACAAGCGGGACATGATTTGGCCTCTCCGACTCCCAGTTTCCTCATTAACAAAAAGGAGACAATGAGAGCAGCTTTTCCCTTTGGTTGATGTGAAGACCAAGGGATTTAATATGCACATAACCTGCCTTTCTTGAGGGGCTGGAACCCTCAATAACCCCCCCACGCCCAGTGCTATTCGTATCAAAGTGCATATTTCTGACTCCTATCATAGGCATGACCCAACAGGGGAGTGAATGTGACCTGAAATCTCAGTGGTGGTGGGGATCAAAGGGCTCCATTGAAAACTGACTTCCCACCATCTCAGAAAGCCCCGTCAGACCCAGAGTCTCCTGTGGGTCTGGCAGGCACACGTGCGCCCATCAGGTGTGCGACGGCCCTCACTTACCGTCATGCTTCTATACTCATCTTCAAACATGTCCAAAAAAATGTCTTCTCCCTAAAAAGAAAGGAAGGGAAGGAAGAGAAGACTATTCATGTTTTTTTTTTTTTTTTCCATAAACACAGTATTATAAACTCTAGCTCTTGGCCTCTGAGGCCATCTGTTTCTCATTATCAAGTTCTCGTAAATCACCAGGAAGTAAAATACACACGTGAATGTGAACACACATGCTCAAAATCAGCAAATATCAAATTGCACCACTCAACATTTTTCTCCTTTTTTAAAAAGCATATTGAATTCTTTTTGTCAAAGCAGTTATTAGAAACCAACAACAAAAATAGCATCGTACATAACTAAAATATAGAAGAGGTTGCTATTTCAAGTGCTAGACATCATCTATTTGTCAAGAATCGCTGTAGAAATGGGGAGTTCTGGGTAAGTCACCATGTTAAAATTATGAGGCCCACAATTTGAAAGAAGAGAATTATTAAGAATGCTTAACCCTAAAATCACACAACCTGTTTTGTTTGCATTTGAGGAGAGCCCCCGGGGTCTTACAGTACCTCGGGGCCGAGCCTCTCTCTGCCCAGGAGATTCCCTTCAGAATGGTGGTGGTCACAAAGTTGGATGTGTGACACAGAAGCTGGGGCCAGGTCTACTTGTGACAGCCCCTCTGCAAGGATGGGAAGACACAAGGACAAAGGTTGCCAGGCCACGTCTTCTGGGCCACTCAGTGTGAGGGGAAATGAGCAGGAGTGCATAAAACACGGAGCAGAGTCTGCCCCTCAGCCAGGGCTCAGGAAATGTTAGTGCTCACTGTCACTATAACCTCTACTGGGGCAATGACAGTCACAGCTGTCTCGTCTGGCTCCTCAAACAGCCACACAAGTGTGCACACACACATAACAGAGTCAGCTTGGAAACACAGAGACCCTTTTCTACTTTTCCAGGGGCCAGGACCATAGGTAAACTTGAACATTCTTGCATGTTGTGAGTAGCACCAACAGAAACGATGGCCCCCGGAACGCCCCGAGCCTCCTGAGACCTTATACTCAGGATGCAGACATTACAAGATAAAAGCACGAACAAAAACATGGATTGGGAGAATGAAGATAAAACCCAGACCCATCCGCTGCCCTTAGGCATCACTGGGGTGAACCAGGGCCTCCTGGTGCTGGGCCAGTGCTCTGCCAGGCAGGGCTTCCCTGGTGTCAATAAAGAAGCACCCTCTGGGGAAACGTCCCCCTCTATGCCTTTCTGTCTCTGGATTCCAAAAGCTTTCGGCGCCAGGGTGGTAAATAAATTTAGAGCAGTTCTGCTGGAAAGAGATTTGAGGATGACTAAGGCAGCAGCCACAGGCCTTTCTTTTGGGCTTGGCTAGAGGGAGCGTGTCCCTACTCCAAGGCCAGGTGTTGCTTTGAGTGTTCAGACAGGAGCTAGGATGTCCTCCCCAGTGAGTGGGGCCACAGTGGTGCTACTCACTGGGCATGTACACCACTGACACTGGGTGGAGTCAACTGAGCCTCGCAAGGTGCCCTCCAGGTTCTAGGACCTGACCTTGTCTCATTACAGACTGACAACAAGGGGTAGTGGGCGTAAAAGCGTCCTGCACAGAGACAGCAGTTTAGAGAGTATAGTGAAAGCATGGGCACAGGTCAAGGAAAGGGCAGTGCTGACCCCTTCCCCTTCCCCTTCCTAGGGGATGTGCACTAGCCCTGCTTTCAGGAGGGAAACCGTGACTAATAGGATCTGGGGAGAGCTGACATGGAGGCTGAAGAACGAGAAGGCCCTTAGCACCACCTGACACCATGCTGGCCAACGATGAGGCCCTGTAAGGTAAGGCTCACTGTCTCCGTCCCTCCAACATTCCTGTGTTAAAATCCTAACCCCAGGGTGACATGACATGGAGTGTTTGGGGGGTGACTAGGTCATCAAGATAGAGCCCTTGTGAATGGGGCTAGTGACCTTATAAAAGTGACCCCAGATACTGCCTGCCCCTTCCACCATTGGAGGACACAGGGAGAAGGCATCACCCACGAGGAAGCAGGCCCTCTCCAGCCGGAGTCTGCCTTGCCCTTGGACTCCCACTCCCCAGAACGGTGGGGATCAGTGTCCACTGCTCACAGGCCGCCCAGCTGATGGGAGTTTGTTATAGCAGCCCAAGCAGACGAACAGTGTGCCTGGGTAACGGAGGCAGCTCACTGGCATGGTGCATGCCTCGCACGCCTGAGGCCCCGTTCCCGTGCCAGCACCATAAGGGAAGAAAGCCAAACAAGATGATACCAAGCAGGTATCCAAAACGAATCCCCTGGACCTGAAGATCAGTCTCTGTGAATTTTTCAGGTTCTGAAAGATGACTTTGTAAAATCTCACTAGACTCGATGACGAAGGTCAGCGGTCTCCATGAGGGTTCCAAGCATGTATGTATGTTCATACACGTAAATAAAATCATGGGTGACTTACAAGTGACTGTACATGTATCAGCACATGTGACTCATGCACATAAGTCCGTCCTGTATCATTTAGTTATATGGAGTCCTCAAGAATTTTTCTGTTAAGAGAGCACGAAAGTTCCAAGAGCACTGCTCTGGAGAGTAAGAATCGAGCATTTTTTACTCAGTGATCATAGGTCTAAAAATCCTGAAGCACATAACCTTTATGTACATGGGACCAGTCATCATGATCCTGTTTCCTCAAGACACCCCATGCTGATGTCCACCTGTGCTGCCAATTACCTTATAAAAATGTCTTGCGAGGTGGACACTCTCTTCTCTTGCACCCTGTGAAAAGAAAAAGGGACTGTGAAGGGGTGGGTCTCCGGAGCAAGTGGTGGGTTTAGTTACAAATTCTAAAATCAGGGTGCACAGAAAATAGATGACAGGCAAATATCCTCAGATTAGAAAAAGGTTCTTAGCTGAGTGTGCTCATGCATGCCAGTAATCCCAGCAACTCAGGAGGCAGAGACAGGAGGATCTCAAGTTCAATGGCAGCCTCAGCAACTTAGTGAGGCCTTTACCAACTTAGTAAGACCCTGTCTCAGAATAACTATAAAAAGGGCTGAGGATGTTGGCCCGTGGTAAAGCGTTCCTGGGTTCGATCCCCAGGGTGGGGGCAGGCAAAAAGAAAGAAAAGGGTTCTGAATGAGAATTCCGGAGGGAGGGTAGCGCTCCAGTGAGAATGAGGAAAAGGCAGGCAATTCAGTGCCAGGACCCGGGAAGTGCTTGGTCTCACTGAGTGGGGCAAGTGGTCATTAAGTATGGCCATGATGATTCCGCTTTTATAAAAGAAAAACTCGTGTGTATGAGCGCGTATGTGAGGGCGTGTCTGCACAGATGCACTCGAGTGTCAATTACTATATTTTACCTATTGATGCTTCCTAAGTTTTCTAAAAAATACGGAAAATAAGGGGGACATTAAAAGCTATGGAAAACCTAATAAATGTATATTTCACACACAAAAAAAACGATAAATAAATGTGTGTGGGTGTGTGTGTAAATGTATAAAAGTTTTGTAACACAAAAGAAACCGTTTAAAATCCTGGGGTCAAACCAGAACCAAGTAACTGGAACGGAAGCTCTGAAGTGGGAAGCTGGCTGGAGGGATTCCTTCTAGACCAAAGGCTGGGGGGCCTGCGGCCACCTTCTCCTAGCTGAGCCGTGGACACCAGGGGCAGGGCTCCATCTGGACACAGAGAGAGACCTCCCCCCTCCCTCGTGCCCCCCGCCCCCCGCTCTCCTGGCTAAGGGTGGGCAGGGGTGCTCACCTGCAGGCAGGCCAGGTGCACGTCCTTCATGATGCAGCCCGCGGCAGCCAGGACCTGCTGCTTCAGGAGCAGGCAGCTCAGCTCCAGGGTCGCCAGCCGGATCTTCCCATCTGCAGGGCACAGCACGTCAGAGCACACAACTCTGGGCCCACCCCTCAACCACAAGCGCTGGCCTTCCCTGCTTCCCTGGCTCTAGCCAGTGGGGGTGCAGAGGGACCCCACAAGCCAGCCCCTCCCCATTGGTTATAATTCAACGTTCCCAGAAAAACTGCTTATCTTTAACTCTGCCCTGAAGCCCCTCTCCCAGGGGAGGGGAGGGAAGGCACAAGGGGAAGGCAGGGCAAAGCTGCGGAAGGCCAGGAAGTGGCCCTCCACGGCGCTGTGCTTATCCCGCACTCTGTCCCCGACCCCAGGGAGAACCATCAGCCCCTCTCTGGGTCGTGTGATTTGGGTGGGGTTGGCCCCTTCTAGGGATGGGAAATATCACCCAGGGTGGTCAGGGGTATCCATTCCGCGGGTCAGTGGTTAGGCGGGACAGGTGAGGAGCCAGAGCCAGCAAGGCCCAGTTCTACAGCGGGCTGGCACTGCTGGGCAAGAGCCTCTCTCAGAGCTGGGCTCAGGGAGGACAGAGCAGTGTGACCCATCTCAGCCCCGCCCCACCCTCACCAGCATTTTTAATCTTCAGATTAAATCTAGAGCTGCTAGATCCCCCTTCCAAACAGACGGCCCAACCTGCATGAAGAGCCTCTCAAGAGCAAGGCTAGAGCTCTAGAGAAAGGCTGGCTGCTGGTCATCCTCCCAGACAGCGACGGTGGGTCCAGAGACATTGCTCGGGGCCGTGGACCCAGCGGGGCCTGAGCCCACCCCGCAGGCTTCATCAGCCAGTCCACTTTTCTGTGTGACGGTCCACTTGTGTTTGCACCACCTGAGCCGTTGGAGTTGGGTGTGTTTACGGCAGCTGAGCTCTGACTCTGGGGGCCAGGCCTGCGGAGTGCTGTGCGTGCACCTCGCGAGGACTCTGCATCCCACTGCAGTGCTGCTCTGAGACCGCGGCTTAGGAGAGTGGAGGGACGGGTCCAGAGTCTCGCAGCCAGGCCTGGTGGCCCCAGTGCCTGGGTGCCACAACCCACATCTGTCATCTCTCCAGGAAGCACTGGTGTGTGCCTGACAAAGGACGTCTGCGAAGCTGCCTTCCGAGGAAAGGCCCTGCTGTGGAAGGGGTCAGGGAGAGCCCTTGCCCCACCGCCGGCCCCGCCTGGCCCCCACGGCTCTTGCCAGCAGCCTGCTCTGCCCCCGGCCCTCCTCTCCTTTAGGCATGGCGAGGGCCGGGCTCCACCCACGACAGCCCTCTCTCCTTTCCTGGGGCTTCACAGGCCGTGTGCGTGTGCGTGTGTGCGTGTGTGTGTGTGTGTGGGGGGGTGTTCCCAGTATTGGCTGCAGCCCTCACCCCTCTCTGTACACATGAAACCCACAGCCTTTCGGGACTTCACAGACCACCCCCTACAGTTGCTGGGGCAAGGAGCCACATCCTTGTCACTCATGCTGTGGCTGGCATGCAGGGGTCCTCAGAACACTCTGTCCAGCGCATGAATACTCTGACACCTGTGATGCCCCCCAGGCCATGGTCCAGTGCCCCAGGCCCTCCTGCCCACTGTCACGGCCACACTCTGCCCTAGCCACTGCTCCTGGGACTCGGGAGGCTCCTGGCTGCACTCGCAACCTCCGCCTCTGGCCTGCCGTGCCCTGAGCCCACCCCACGGGCTATTCCTGACTCTGCATCTCAGTGTTCTCTCTCCACCAGGCCAACGGTGCAGCTGGCCCTTGACCTTCAGCTTACTCTAGTGACCTCTCTCCTCCTCTTTGCAGAGAACTGGCCTTGTGATCAGGGGATCTTGGCCTTGGCAGTGTTGTTGCTCTGAGACAGATCACTCTGGGCTGTGGGGGCTGCAGAGTGTATGACAGGGTGTTTAGCAGCCTTTACCCACCAGATTCCAGTAGCATTCTTAGCTGTGATGACCAAAAATGTCTCTAGACATTGTCAAACATCCCCTGAGGGGCAAGATCACCCCAGTTGAGAAACACGGAGCTAGGTCACTCCACTTGCTATTCCTAGTGCCACCTTCTTGCAGATCAGTATTGGCCCAAATTGCAGAATCAGGCTGCCCAGTGCAGGCCCTGGCGACGCTGAGTGCTGTCTACAGCACCTCATTCAAACCTCCCACCCGAATTCACTCACAACCCGGCCTTGGCCACCCAGAGAAGAGCCACAGACATGGACAAACTGGTAAGAGAAGGGCCGGGTGTAGAAGGAGAAGGCAGAGAGGAGATCAGGAGATGACCAGCTGTGGGTGGCTCAGGGGCAGAGGGAGTGGCTGAGATGTGCCTGGACTTGCGACAATCCAGGTCCAGATTCCAGGGCTCAAGGTGCCCGGTCTGGGGCCTGTTCCCTCTGACTCCAGGGTGCTGTGGACAGATAACCCCCCGCCCTGGCAGGCACCTGGCTGGGCAGCATTGTTCATGATCCTGATGAGTCTTTCGGTCAGCAGGTGGTTATACGTGGTCTTCTCAGCTTCATTTGGCACCGGCAGCTGGATTCGCTCTAGTTTTTCAGGATCTATGCCTGCAACGGGAAACAGGAAACATGGAGGCAGCTGCTGGGGCAAGGAGCCACATCCACCCCACCACTCCTGGACCCTGTCACTCGTGTTGTGGCTGGCATGCAGGGGTCCTCAGAACACTCTGTCCAGCACATGAATACTCTGACACCTGTGATGCCCCCCAGGCCATGGTCCAGTGCCCCAGGCCCTCCTGCCCACTGTCACGGCCACACTCTGCCCTAGCCACTGCTCCTGGGACTCGGGAGGCTCCTGGCTGCACTCGCAACCTCCGCCTCTGGCCTGCCGCCTTCCTGAGAGAACCCCTCTTCCCAAAAGGGCCACAGAGCAGGCTTTCCTCGGCCACCTGTGGTCCCTCTTCGTGACTGCTATCAGGCCTGGCTGCTGCCTGTACCATAGCTTACGTAAATATGTTAGAATGTTCTTTCCATGGATATTGTCAGTGGGAACCACTAACAGAACACTCTGCACACAGGGAGCCAGCTGTCCCACACTGTCACTGTCAGATTCAAAGGGCTGGGTTGGTCCTCAACAGGAACGGGGCAGCAGGACCACGCTGCGGTGGCGCTAGCAGAAAGGGACAGCTAACCCTTTAGAGCAGGAGGGTGCATATACGAGGGGACTAACGGAGCAGAGGCAAAGCCACCATCACGTTCTCCAGGGGGAAACTGACACACCTAAAGGACAGAGATGAGGCAGGAGGTGGCGGCGGGGGGGGGGGGGGGGAGGGGGGGGAGGGAGGGGGATGGGCAAGTCTGTGACTAAAACTAAAACTGTGCTGTCGTTTTCCTGATGACCCCTGTCAGGGCTACCAGGACAGTCCGGGCCTGGACATGACCTCCAGCTCCCAGCCTCTCACCCAACGTGGCTCTTGAGAAAATACGCTGTAGAGCAACACTGCGCTAGAAGGAGCTTGGAGACCCCGGGCTCTCTGTGCTGGCAGCACGCCTCTTCCTGTCACTGCACATGAAAGGGGGAAGGTGGCGCTTCTCGGAACTCTTGAAATACGGCTCCTGGAGAAGCAGACAGCCGTTCATCCAGAGCCTGACAACCCAGCGAGGAGCACGGAAGACCGACTGTGGGGTCCTCGGTGGCTCCGCACACGTGATGGAGGAAACCACGACAATGCATCTTGCTTTACTGAGTCCTTCCAGGTCTGCGTGAGGGGTAAGTCATGCCAAGGAGAGGACATCGGCGAGGGACGGCCTGAGGCTTGGTGGCGTGGGACTCTCTCTCCTACCCCTGTGAGTGTGGCTTTGCCAAGAAATCTCACTGCAGGGAAAACTGCGCCTGTGCTTCCTTGCTGTGGAGGCTGACTGTCGGGCCTCCGGCGTCCGCCTGCTGGACGGCCAGGGGCTGCCGACTGAAGCTCCTGCACTTGTTTTTCCACAGACGTCAACACTGTCCAACGCTTCTCCACCCTTTCGCTGGTCAGTGCCATCTGGGCAAAAGCGCCCCGCTCCTCTGTCTCCCCAGCAACACCCACCTTATGACCCGAAGGCCAGGCCCTGCACTTCGAAGACAGCAGGCAGGGCCCAGCTGCTGGCTCCCTCTCCAACGTGGCCAGAGCCGCAGAGCCAGAGACAAGCAAAACGCAGCCAGGGTCCGAGCTTCCTTGAGGTCCGTTGCCTTTTCTATTACTGCCCCTACCCCTCCTTAGAATTTCTGGAAAATGACGAAATCTTTCTGTGACAAACTCTTTTCGTGACAGGAAGAAAAATGCTCTGAGGTCATCCCAATCTCTCCTAACTGATGGTCCCAATCTCTGGGAATGGGGGTGGGGATGTGTGTCAGACATCGGGACATCAACCGGCCCAGAGTCCAAAGCCCAGTCATTTTCCTCTAGTGAGGAAACTCAGGCTCAGAGTGGCTGAGCATTCCCCCAGGTCACAGAGCAAACCAGAGGCACAGCTCCAGCCACTGCTGGATGGCGATTCCAAAGAGAGATGGGATCCAGATGGGGAGGGGTGTGCCCCCCCCCATGACAGCCATGCACAAGGTGCCCCCCTCTCCCGCTGACAACAGCCTCAGTCTTCAAGGCCTCCCTGCACCCTTGAACTCATCTCTCAGGAGAGGAAGCTGCAGGAGAAGAGGCCTGGCTGGGGAACAACTGTGGATACCTGGTCCCTTTGAACCTTAGTCTCCTCACCCATGAAACGGGAGTAAACACAGCAGCCACCCAGCCCCCAGTCCTGCAGTCAGGACCAAATGAGGAAGGCACAGGTCATGCTCCGTAAGTGCTGCCTGGCGTCACTGTGAACAGATGCAGACTGTGGTTTGAACACGGTACCGGGTGCCCACATCGTGTGAGTTAGGAAAGGAAGGGGCGAGAAGAGAAGCCGCCACCTAACAAAGCTGAGATCGAGCTGGAGAAGGAGGCCTGGCGGCAGAGGCTGCTGCCTTGTCTGGGGCTGCTCCGGGACCAGCTGCCCTGGGTCCTGAGGATGAACAGGCGTCAGCCTGGAGCTGGACAGGAGGCCAGGACGTGCCACGCCAAGGCCTGCGAGAGCTTGGGGAGGGCTGGGATGAGGCGCTGGGACGAAGGGGAAAGGGAAGGCAGCCTCGGGTGCCAGGAGCCTGGAAGGGGACTGCTGGAGAGGCGGCATGACTTGGCGGGGCTCCGCCGACTTCTGGGGCCTCCCTGCCCCCAGTTGCTCAAGGTGGTCGCCCAGCTTCCGTGGGAGGAAGTGTGACACACAGTGAGCAGGTAGGGGAAGAGAGAGGGGAGGCGGTTCCTCCACCAGCCATGGAGACAAGGGCCAAGTGACGTCCACAGGACACATGGCAAACTGTGCGAACCCTTCTGGCATCTCGGTTCCCCCCAAGGCTCCTTCTGGGCCAGGTGCCTCATTTCCTCAGGCCCACTCTCCCTTTCTCTTGCCACAACCTCTGAAATCCGACTTCTCTGGCTTATTCCACCCTGACCCTCAGTTTTCAAGGCCTATGTAGCAACTGAACCCCAGGGACATTCTGGCCACCACAGAAAGCAGTCGCTGGCCCTTGATGGAGAGCTTCTCACGGGGCCTCGTTGTTTACCCAAGTGCTCACTCTAAACAAAAGGAGGCCAGGTCTGGGTGAAGGGAGGTGCACTGGGGGGAAGAAGGGGAGATTCCACTCGAGGGGGTCAGGGAGGCCGCGGGGCAGCGCGGTAGTGGAGGACCTGCCTGCCTAGCACAGGTGCAAGGGCCTGGGTAAGCCGAGCTTCCCTCTAGAGTAAGCACGTGCGCATGTGCAAGGCTTTCTCCAACCCTTGCGAGGCCACGTGAAGCAGGTAACCAGGTCTCCATTCTACACGAGGAAACTGAGGCCCAGGAGGAGGTCAGGCAGAGAGCAGAACAGGCGCCGGGTCTGAACGCGGTTTGACTCCCGGCCGCCTTCCGCCCTCTCTGCCCTGCCACGGGAGCCTTGCTCGTCACAGTCTCTGTCTTCCCGCACCTGCTCACGGTGTGTCACACTACCTAGCTGTGCTCTCAGTATGAGGACAACAGGCCACAAAGGTTTGATGGATGCACAAGGTTCTGAAGGAGACGACTGATTTGATCAAGTACAGCCTGCTATAAAAATGGACGGACAGGATCAGACACATTTCAAAACGGGGCAAACAGGGCATGAGGCGGGTGCTGCCATCTGACGGCTACGGCAGCCCACAGGAGGCTGGGAGGAGAGGACCGTATCAGCGTCAGTGGGTACCCATGGAGCATGTAGCCATGGGCAAGGGAACACAGACCTGACTCTCATTTCCGTTCCTATAGCAAGCATTGCATCCTCACTTCTATTTTTAGAAAGGCATTTAATTTGTGGAAAAGCATTTGATTTGGGTTTTTTAATTACCTGCCTAAAACAAAATGGTGCCCAACAGTTCAGAGTGAACAGGTCAACGTCACTGTATGACAGGGACACGCATGTGAAGTCAGAAGGCCTGCGTGCCGAGCGTGAGGACACACTCACACCCTCATACATACAGATGCACACATGTGCTGTGGTTTTCGGTGGTGGAAAGGTAGGCTTTGTGGCAAACCCCAACAGAGCTCCTCTGCTAGTCATTTCCCTTTGACTGAATGAACACTGTGAATAGTGTCTTCCTCCTTGTCAGTTCTCAAGTCTCGGCAAGAGACACTTTCCAAAGAATCCCTCACGCACTTCACATGGCCCAGCAAGATGCACTGGCTGCTTCTGACTTCCAGCAAACCACATGCCGCCTTAGTCCTTCCTGCCAGGGGCCTCAGGGTCATAGTCTGTGCTGACCCAAAGGGTCAAAACAGGTGTCCCCTTTTCACAGAGCTGCAGGAAGGGGAGTGCTCCCAGCTAGCTGAGTCGAAGAATCCACCGCAGAAGGGAAGGGCGTGCGTGACACCCCCCACCCCCAACACACACGGTCAGTAACTAGTTATGGAGCTTCCCCTCGAGTCCCGATTTCTGGATTCCTCCCGCTCAGGGCTGGGGTGGAAAACACCCATACTGAACCTACATAAAAGGAATCAGCAGGAAACCTGCGTAAAGAGATCACGGGAACACCAGGTAAGCAATGTTCAACATTTTTCTATTTCTTATGACCATGTACCAACTCCTTGGCTGCAGTCACACAAGTGCTGCCAGTTTTGGAAAACTGTAGACCAGCTATTTCGAAAGCTGACCAGATTGTCTGGCCAATTTCCAGTGTAATTCCAGTTCTGATTGTGTGTCAGCCCAGATCCAGGGCAGCATAGGCCGCTCTGCCTGGTGAAAGCCTCCCTTATCCTATACCTTTCACCTTCCCATACTGCTCCTCCAGGTTCCAGTAACTGCTCAGCAAAATAAGACACAAAGGCCGAGATTCCACCCGGTAAACAAGGGGACCGAGGGGCAGGAGTAGGGGCATCTCCCACTCACGCCCGCCCTTGCACCAGGGCTGGTGGACTTCAGCGAGACTGTGTTTTCTATTACAGATGCGAACAGAATTCGTTATGTGGCCCAAGTGACTCATGACAACTGCCTTCCTCGACCAAGCCACCCTGTCCACTGCGGGATGTGCATTCTGGTGCAGCACCTCAGCTGTTATGGTTTAGTGGAAAGCCTGAGCTCACATTTGGCTTCATTAACATTGCTTTTATGTTACAATTGTCTTATGAGAAAAAATCTGTTTGAAAGAGGGACCTGCTTAGCGGGTAAGGTCTGAAAGAGAGAGGCTGGGGGTCAAGTACAGCCAACCGGAAGGCCACAGTGGCTGGCCAGCATGGAAGGTCACCTAGCTATGGGACACCACAGAGTCTTGGATGGGCACTGCCTCAGTAGTGAGGACCTTGCTAGCTCCAGACTAAAGGCTGGGCCATTCTACCTAAGCTTTAAACTCAGCCTCAAAAAGAAGCAAGTTAACTCTAAGTAACTTACCACAAGCCCCAGAATACTTTAATGAAGAATCCAACAGTGTGCAATTCTTAACTGTCAATCAATCAAAAATTATCAGACATGTAAAAACAATAATGACAATAAAATGGTAGGGGAGAATATGACCTCAAATCAAAAGAAAAAAAAATCAATAATAAAAACAGAACTAGTAATCACAAAAGTGACAAAATAGATAAGAAATCAGAAGGGAAACTATAAAATAACTTCAACTGAATGAAAATAAACTATATGTATATATAATTATACACACATGCACACACACACACACACACATGCACATATATATACACATAAATTTATTGGATGCAGCTAAAGAAGTGCTTAGAAATTTACAGCATCAAAATCCTATAATAAAAGAAAAAAAAAGGTTAAAAACCAAGGACTATTGCAGAGAGGGTTAGACTGGAAGGGAACAGTGTAAAATGTTTTGGATAATAGACTTTTTTAATTATCCTGTTTATGGTGGTGAATGTGAAAATCCAAGTGTGTTAAAATGCACAGAACTACAGATCCCAAATAGTTAAATTTTACTTTGAATTAATTTAAAAAATAAAATAAACTTGCTAGCTCAAGAGGTCAATGAACTAAGCTTCTCCCTTAAGAAACTATAAAAAGAAGAATAAATTAAATCTAAAATAAGATTTAAAAAAAGTAAAAAACAGGGCTGGGGCTGGGGCTCAGTGGTAAAGCACTTGCCTCGCATGTGTGAGGCACTGGGTTTGATCCTCAGCACCACATAAAAAAATAAAGATACTGTGTGTTCATCTACAACTGAAAATATATATATTAAAAAAGTAAAAAACCGAAATCAATGAAATAAAAAGAAAGACAATAGCTACCAGCAATAAAATTGATAATCTTTAGGCAAACTGATCAGGAAGAGCAAAATTATAATCTAAATTATCAGCACCAAGGATTAGAGGGAGGACAACACCACACACGATACGAGGCGTCGTACTATGAATGAGTTTGTGACAATAAGACAGTTTAGATGAAATGACAACTTCCTTGAAAAATACACACCACTGAAGCTTACTCAAGAATAAACAGAGAACCTTAAATATTCCTGCATCTAATGAAGAAACCGAGAGGTTGAAAACTTCCCCTCATAGGAAACTTCAGGCCCAGATGGCTATACTGGCCAGGAACTACTTAAATAAGAAACGATCCTAGTTCTGCGAAATTAACTCCAGAAAATCAAGGAGGAAGGAATATGTCCTCTCATCCCATAAGGTAAGCATAACCCCAACAGCAACCCCAGACAAGAAGACTACAGTACCATTCAGGTACACACATACAAAAATCCTTAACAAAGTTCTAGCAAGTCAAATCCAACACTGTACGTAAAGTACCACATTAGGTGGCAGTAACCTGAGCTGACCACCATGGATCAGAGTTTCCTAGAGAAGGTGGCTTCTGGGTGGACCTTGACAGACAAGCAGAATCCTAATCAGGTGATGATGTAGGTAAGAGAAAATGGCAGGATTCCCCAAGAACCGGTGGGTGTAAAAAGCTCCTGTTCTTGGGAACAGTCCCAGACACAGGGCTGAGCCCTCAGGACCCCCAGCCAAAACTGACTATTCCAGCGTTAGACCCACTACCAAGTTGAGCCATCAGATTTCTTGCCCAAGAATTTGAAACGGAATGGAAAGAGATTCCCGCCTGGGATCAGCTGCTTTTTAGCAACCACCGGGGTCCTGTGAGCAGCTCCAGAGGCCTGCTGTAGGCTTTCCCTTCAAGCTTAACTACTGAGACAGTTTCTGTTGCTTGCAACCAAAAGAGGGTGGAGAGCCCCAGAGCACCATGACAGCCACCACGCTTCTTCTCTGAACGATTTACGTCATCGCATAAAAATCTGAAAACCCCTGGGCCAGAGCCAAGAGCTGGGTGAAGGAAAGCCCTAAGAATCAGATCAAGCGCGAAAGGCACCTACCTTGACTGGTACCGGACCCGACATGACTGTGCAGAAGGGTGGAGGTAAAGGGAGAGGGGCGGCACTTCAGGCTTCTGAGTGGGAAAAACCCATGTCAAAGCTCTCAATAAAGAGATCACCTGGCAGTGCTACCGGGGATGAATTATAAAATGGCATGTGCTTGACCCTTCTGGGAGGCTGATGACAACTGTCCAGGCCTGAGACAATGGCCACTGGAATGACAGGCCCAGACCTTGCTTGCTTCCGTGTCTTGGTTCTCACCTCCCACCTGGCTTAGAGCCAGGCACTGGGTGGACACTCAGAGCTTAAGTCTGCTGGTGACACGGGCTGGAAAGAGAGGACTGAAGGAATCTGATATGTGCTAGAGCAAAGGAGGGAAAGAGCTAAACGCCATGCCTTTCGAGTTTGTTGGCCACTGCAACTAGACAGGAGTGCAGAAGTGTTCATCTATGGGGTGCTAGCACACAGTGTCAGGGTGTTCTGAAAGCACCCAGGTAAGCGTCCCCAGCACACAGCCAGCGGGAGTCCAGGCTACAGAGCTGGCATGGGTGGGGGAGCCCGGGCAACCACGGTAGGAGCCAGCAGGCCCCGTGGAGTTTGGTCTCCTTCCAGGAACTGAGGCCCCACGGTGCCAGCTGCCGAGCCAGGAGCTGGTGGGGGGACTTCAGAAGCCACTGGAAACCCTATGTACTCCCACCTGGGTATCAGAGGTATCTTTTTTGAAAAAAAAAAAAAAAAAAAAGATGAGAAACTGGTAGCGTGAACCATGTTTGAAAAGGAGAGTTGGGGGAGACGGTGGGAAGAAACTCTCATCACTGTATGTTTCACCACTTGTTTCTCACGATCAGCAATGTAAATAGTTATGTCAATATGCTTTAAAGTCCGTAGTCACGGGCTTATCAAAACCAACTCCGCCTCCTCCCCAAAGGCTTCTGAGATACCTCTGAGGCGGACTTGAAGTAATGTCTCATCTATGCCCAGCCGAGCTCTGGGAAGGGGCCAGAGGGAATATTCCAGAATCCTCCTGAGGAGATTCTGATGTGGAGGTTTCCTAAGTGCCCTGTCAGGCCAAGTAGGCCAACACCAGGGCTGTCCCCAGCAGTGGCGGTGACGGAAAATCCCAGTGGACTATCAGCTCCAGAGGGGCTGGGCCTGGCCACGCAGCCTCAGCAGGGGAAGCCAGAGACCACGCCTTTCTTCAGAAAGGAAACCCACGTTTCCACAAAATCCACCCAGGTTTATTTTAGCTCTGAACCCACAGCAAGAACACCGAGCATTACAAATAGCAAAACCAAGGTTACAGTGTGACTGGCTTCAGTTCTGACGCTGGGAAAGCAGTCCTTAGTAAGGCAGCTGCAAAGCCAGGGTGGACAGAAAGCCACAGCGTGAAGACAGTCCCACTGGTGAGACAGTGAACACTCAGACCTCTCCCCGTGTTGTGAGTCACCAATTCCTGGGGCGTCAGTCTGTGCTAAAACACCTGAGAAACCCGGAGGAAGACTAAAGAGCAGTTTTACAGAAGCTGCCCGTGGAAGCCAGAAAGGAAATTCCTCCCCAAAGTCCTCTCTTCCCTCTGTACAGAGGGAGGGACGCTGCCGAGTGGCCAGTGGCGGGCGGAAGGGGACAGAAGTGCACCCACCTTTGTTATGGGACATGGCGTACAGGAGGCAGAGCACGAAGAGGGCATGGTAGTCGTCGTCGGGGCTGTCCAGGGCGTGGAACACCATATCCAGGAAGGGTCTGGAGGAGACAGGGAGGAGCATGAGCCTCATGGCACAGATGGACGTCTCCCCTCTCGTCCACTCACAGGGCGCCAGCAGACCTTGCTCTCACAGCGCTGCGCTCTGAGGCCGTTCCACTGTGGGGACTCTACTCTATGCCCAGGCAGCACCAGGCACTGGGGAGCCTAGAACAGATGAAATGGACACTACAAATGGAAACTGCTGTCTTCAGGGGAAACTGACCAGAAAAGAGTGTCTTGTCACTCAACCACCTTTCACCAGATGTCCTGACACTGGGAACAATGACACCAAAGTTCCAGCTCTTTGCCTTCCTGTGCCAGTTAGCAGAGACGGGAAACGACACACATCATGACTTCAAGATGATGAACACAGGGCCGCGTGACACAGAGTAGGACCACACAAGGGCCAGGCAACAGTGGGGACCAGCTGAAGGACGGCGACTCTCGCGCCACACTTCTTGGTTCAAATTCTGACCCTGCCTCTTCACAGTCGCAGACCCTGGGCAAGCCGCTTCCCAGCTCCCCTCCCCCACCTGGAAAAGGGCAGAACCTGCAGGGTCACGGTGAAGAGCACATGCAAGGGGGACTCCAAGGCAGGGAGCGGGGCCAGCACTGTGGAAGGGCCAACAGCGGGCAGCTGCTATCTCTGTCTTTAATATCCCAAGGGCACTGCGCCACGATTTCCTTTTGGCAGGGTACTGGCACAGGGATTTCGGGGACCGACGTTCCCTGACTGAAGAACCCACTGGGAGGTCTGTGGCCCCTGATGCTCTGTGGGTGAGCTCTAAATAGTGGCTGCAATACTGGAAATCGCACATCCCAAATGCCACCCTTTCAAGGTAACGACTCTTCATACAAGGATGACTCTAGATACCAGGTTGAGACCAAGAGACCAGAGCACCCGGTGAGTGACCCAGGGCACAATTAACCCCTAGAGGGTCACACACGCAGTTATCAATCCTGAGCGTCTAGGGGAGTGAGCCCGGGAGAACAGTCGCTGCGTAATCTTTCAAACTCTTTTGAATTCTGAACTCCATAGATACACCATCGATGCAAAATGTTAAATTAAAAAAATGCAAAAGAAAAAAAAAAAACGTATACTGGCTATAGGATTTCAAATAAACATGAAAAAATTAAAAAAAAAAAAAAAAAAAAAAAAAAACATTTAAAGGGGACACTGACATTTGGACTCCATGTCTCTGGAGCCCCAGATGAGGCACCAACTTTCCTCTGTTAATAGTTTTGCCATGTGTAGGTGGGGTTTCCACAAGTTTCCAGTGATAACTTCAATACTTAAGAGCAAGAGAAAGTACAAACCATTTTTTGTAAACCAGGTGCTTGAAATTTTGATTATAATTTTGGGAATAATCTGAATAACCCAGCACGAGAGCAGGAAGGATATGCTTTATGCAATGAAGTATCACGACGCCACCAAGCACTTGATTCATAAAGAGTACAGATGATGAAGTGGAAAAGATGCTCAGGCTTGATATTAGATGGAAAAGGAAGGATAAAGAGTGACAGGCACGTTTTGCTCATCTCTTATCAGTCGTTCAGTGCCAGTTTCCTGGGAATTCTGCCTGGGAAAAGAGGGCAGAATTCCCAGGAAACTGGCACTGAACGACTGATAAGAGATAAGCAAAATGACGATAACAGTGGCCTTTGAACATTAGGATCAGGGACAATTTTTGTTCCTTCTTATACTTTTTAAGATTTTTTTTCACATTTTCTGAATGTATATCACTTTCATACCTTTTTTAAATTTAATTTTTGATTTTTTTGGTAGCAGGGACTAAACCAGGAACACTGACCACTGTGACATCCCAGTCCTTCTCATTTCTTCGTCTAAGAGTCTCACTAAGTTGCTGAGGCTGGGCCTGAGCTTGCCAGCCTCCTCCTGGGGCTCTGCAGTCACTGGGATCACAGGCCGGTGCCACAACACCTGGCTCAACACTTTTTTTTTAAAAGAAAAGAAACAATGTTTTGAATGTTTTTAGTTGGTTAGGTCCTATACTTAACCCTGAATTCAGACAGAGCCCATAATTATACAAGAAATATCAGAACAGTTCCACTTTCTACTCTGCTGCATCTTTGGGCAAGTAGGTCAATGTTCAGATTCACTCTATGACCTGGAGAACAAGTAGCCATCTTCCCTCGCTCTCAGCGTGCTCCTGCCTCAGCGCTGGGAAGTGAGGGAAGAGGGCTGCCTCAGTCTCTGACAAGTGGCAGCCGAATATTTTTGCAAAGCAGACACAATGCTCCACCCTGGCCAGCCTCTCCGTGGAGGAGCAGGGACCTGGCCTGAAGCTTCCCAGGTCTGCAGATGGCCTGACTCACGGCGCTGAAGCCTTGCCACGAAAATCCAGGGGAAAAAGTACCAGCTTCAACCTTCAAGCACTCTGCTCTGCTTCTTACGGAAGGGCAGCAACACACAGCTATTTTTTTTCTTTAGAAAAGCTACGAAATTATGATAATAATACAGCAAAGCATATGCCTCTTTTGTGTCCACGGATTAGAACCTCAGAAGCAAACACAGCCTCACAGCATTCACTTAGGTAGTATTCTCCTTAGTTTCCGCCTCTCCTCCACCACTAGTCACTTAGGTTTCCAGTTATCCACATTCTAACTAGGGCTATGCCAACCATCAAAGCTTGTCCCTAACTTCTGTGCTTAGAATGACTTCCTTAATTCTCAGAGCTTCAGGAGCTACGTATTTTTTTATTGTTGTTGTTAGCAGATTAAAAAGGTCTTTATAAGTCGTAACAAGTGTACGCTCACACTGAACATATTCTAATGGTTTCTTGTTCAACAAAAACTAAAAATGGCTCTCTTGCACATCTGATTAAAAAAAAAGAAAATCCCATCTGTTAGATAACTGAAACATGTGTCACGTAGAGCTGTGGAGGGGAAAAAATCAGCGGGCTTCAACTCTTCACTGTCAGCTGGCTTAGCAAACAGGATGGGGTGAGCACTCGAGACCCCCGCTCAGGCAGTGAACATGTGGTGTTCATACGGAATCTCTGCAGGGAGCTATGCAGAGGGTTGCTTGGTGAGGAACGAGTCACCCTAGCAGTGCAGTGAAGACGGTTCTGTAAGGGTGGCACAAGATTTAAGGAGATGTAACTTCACAGAGCAGCACTGAAATGACCGATGGGGCCAGGCTCAACGGTGGGCAGCAGCACTGGACCACGCTGGCTGAGTCCTGAGGCAGCCCTCTGGATGGTGGTGAATGAATGACCAGAGAGACCTCCTGAGAGCTGCAGGGGTGAGGTGTGCTGGGCGGGGAGGGGGGGTCCCGTATGCCGGCCATCCTCTCTCCCAGGGGTGAGGTCCAGGGCCCCTGACCTCCCTGCTGCCCCTGCTCCTCCTCCCTGAGCCGAGCCCCACACACCTGCTCCACTGCACGCCCGCAGAGCGCGTGGCCGCAGCGCTCTTCTCCTCGTCGGTGGTGTTCTGCTCCTGCAGGGAGGAGCTGGCGGCCAGCTCCGAGAGCCTGCGCTCCATGATCACCATCTCGATCTCTGCAAGAGACGGGGACGCTGATGAGCCAGAGGGCTTCACAGACCTAGAAGCGTAGACATAAGCAGTTAGAAAATCAGCACGCGCACGTCACTCCCAACAGCTCCAGCAGATGTTCAGCAGCTCAGCACCGGCACCGGCACCAGGCTGGGGAGAAGCAGGACGGCCAGAACCGCTCACCTTGGCAACACCAGGAAACATGACCCTAATCTGAACAACAACATACTATTTGCAATCATTTATTGTATTTCATGATTTTAAAAAGGTATTTTACTTTATCGATACCACATTTCCTTCCCAAAGGATCTGCGGCAGCTTAGAAGACAGGACATGTGGTTACAAAGACCTGACCAACCCACGGCAGCGTGTGAAGCTGCCGACAGCGCACAGGAGCTGTGTCCTCCTTTCCGCTCTCCTTCTGGAAGGCACCGGGAGGCTAGGAACCTCATTTCACATTTTCCCCAAGTAAATCAGAGTGACGTACAGCAACGACTTAAGCATGATGTGCATTTCTGTTTTCAGAAAAAGCTGGGGACCTCTAGAGAAAAACATCCGGAACTAAAGGTGGACAGCTGGGCTTCCAGGGGTCCCTGCCATAGAACCTCGTTGTGAGGACAAGGACTTTCTCAGCCAGTGTCTGAACGCAGGTACAGACCGCTTCCCCCATAACAGGAGATGCGATGCTGGGGAGGGGGAGACGAGCTGGGGAGGGGGAGACGAGGAGAGAAACCTGGGCTGTTTCCAGGGGCTGAGTGAGTACACCTGGGGCTCCACCGTGGCCCCCACCCTCGGGCCTCCTAGCTGGCCTCTGCATCCTTCCTTGGCCCCCTTGTTTTCTCCACACCAACCTGAGGGATTTGTAAATGGGAATTAGCTGATGTCAATCTCTGTTCTGAAACTCCTGGTGCCTGTCCACTCTATTCCGGGTAAAATTCACAGGGCATCCCGGCTGGCCCCTCCACCTCCGCCCTGTGGGCACCCCACGCTCCAGGTGAGGCAGCTTTCCACTGCTTCTCAATGCCCTAAGCTTCTTGTGCCCCAGGGTCTTCGTGCAGCTATTCCCTCTGCCCGAGAGGCTCTTGCCCTTGGTCTTCTCTGCACAGGTGTGACTCAGTCACGCCCTCTGACGCTCAGCTCAAATGTCGTTTCCCAAGATGTCCTTTCCACCTGCTTTTCGTTTACTTCCTTTTAAATGATTAGCTGCATATTTTGCTCAGATTTCATTTCTTTTTCCCAACTTTTTTTTTTTAAGTTTTAAATGACCACAAGACCTTCATTTTATTTATTTTTATGTGGTGCTACAGATTGAACCCAGTACCTCACACACACGTGCTAGGCAAGTGCCTCTACCCTGGCCCCGGCCCCCAGCCCTACTCTGTGGTAGGGTCCCTCCTACCTTGTCAGGGGTAAATCCTCTAGGCCTGACACTTTCTCAGATTTTCCTTGATCTTGAGACCTTGGCAGTCTGATCAGGGACTTTAAGAAGTCCCTCATCCTGAGTTGACCTGATGCTTTTCTGACAATTTGACTGAGGTGAGGTTTGGGGAGAGGAAGATGACAGAGAAGTGTGCTTCTCACAGCGTCGTCTCCAAGGGACACACTAGCAACATGGCTGAAGACGCTGATGTTGCTGTTGCGCGTTTAACAAGCTAACCTTCATCAGTGTCCCCACTGCCAAGTTCCTTTTCCTCTCTTCCACACCACGCTTAAAGAGTGGAGCTGTGTTCTACCTCCCTGGGTGTCCACACAAACTATTTGCAGTTATTCTACCCAGGGGATTTGTCCTCTCTACCTTTACTTTGATTTTGCTTAGTTTTTATAACTACCTGGATTTTATATTATCTGGTTTTTCCATTGTTCACTATCAGCGGACTGAGGCTTCGCAGGAGAAGCCGTCCCATCTGTCCTGTTCTTCCCGTATCTCCAGAGCCTAACCTAGGGGCTGGCAGAGCACAGGTGCACAGTGACTCTCTCTTGAGTGGACATATGGATGACTGCACTGACGGAGCCCAAGGAAGTTTCGGCAGTCAGCAGGGCAACGTGTCACTGTGGCTGTGACGTGCGGCAGGGGCGGTCCACAGCTGATTCAGATCTGTGATGGATGTGCACATAGTTTTCTTCCAGGAGACATCTGACCCCACCACTCTTCCTGGACTGTTAGTGGGACTGTGCGTGCAGCCCCTGGGGCGTGCAGGCCACACACCTGCCCGGGGCCTGGTCTCTGGGAGGCTCACTCTCCAGAATACCCTGCCCTTTTGATCTGAAGGCAATGCCACAGATGAGAGGCTCCCACGGGGTGGTCCCCATTACACGCTGAGAGCCAAGAATGACTTTTAAGTGGTCTCTGGACAAACTTTCTGTCTATATGGTTTCAGAGTTTTTTTTGCTGTTGTTTTTGTTTTTGATGGGCATTTTAAGAAAATTCTAGCCGTACAGAAAGTCATTCTTTGGTGCATATTAACACTGAGTGAGGGTAAATTTAAGGAAAAAGCCAATTCAGAGAAAGCTGGGCCAGCAGCAGCCCAGGCAGTGCAAGACAACAGCTCCTCCGCTCCCTGCACGCTCCTGCCCAGACGCCCGTGGTGCCCGGCCACCCCCGCTTCTCCAGTGGGGTCGGCTGCCCCAGGGGTTGCAAGATGACTCACTAGCTAGCAGCTCCTTTTACCGCTTTAACTGTCCTCATCCTTGATATGGCTACTGTGTGTGTTTTAAGCCATACATAGGATTAGCACAGTGATACAAATATGTATGACTTACCATGAATACACCTATATGCTCTTGGGAGATGCAGGCTTAGATCTCATATGTGTTTGCGTTTACTGATAAAAGCATGCCATCAAAGACATCGGAAGTCTACCAGGGAAACTGTGAAGCCAGCCTCCTGCCGACCGCTGACCTCACCAGCCACCACAGGCCATCTCCCCTGGGCTTCAAGTTCACGTCCCCAGGCACAGCCCTGCCCCTCCTGGCTGACATGGTGGGAACGCAGTTCCCAGGACTCCTCAAGATCACAGCAGCGAGCCCCAGTCCCTGGTGAAAGGGCCAAGCCTCCACCCGTCCTCTTTGCATCTTTTAATCTCCCTGGACCACACCAGAAGTCTGGGGCAGAGAAGTTCATCTGTCCAGTGCTTGTTGGCTTTTTTTTTTAAAAGCAGCTCAACCTTTGTATTTCTGTAGAGCTGGGGAGGGAGCCCAGGGTCTCACACATGCTGGGCAAATGCACAACTAAACACAGCCTCAGTCCCTCCACGTTAATTTGAATGACAGCTTTGCAGGGCTTGCTGCCATGACGGCAGGTAAGAGCAGGCTGCTCCAGGTGGAAGCTGGTGGATGCCAAATGTTTCTACCCACAGGATGCCTCAGGCACTGCACTAACGACCCTTTTTGGAATCCTGGGGTTTCACAAAAATCTGCCTGAAAACCACTGGTTTGGTCCAAACCTGGACACTGTATCTGAGGAACAGCGCCCGGATGTGCAGTGGCTCTTGACACAGCTTCATGTGTGGCAAAGCCGGGACTGTCCCCACCCCTCACCCCTAAAAATGCAGGGTGAAAGCTAAAACTAGCCCCCTTGAGCCACATCACGCCCTGGCCCAGGACAAGGCCCTCTCCACACAAATCGAGGTCTGTGAATCTCAGCTGTGCCCGCCAGGCGCTCCCAGGGCACCCCACCTTCGCCCTCAAGCCAGCAGAGCTGTGGAAGGAGCTGTTCCACTCAGATCAGTTTCCAGATGAGGGAGAATTTTTTATTTCTAGTTGTAGATGGATACAATACCATTGTTTTATTTATCTGCCATTTATTTATTTATCTATGTTTCCATGGTGCTGAGATTCGAAGCCAATGCCTTACGCGTGACCGGCAAGTGCTCTACCACTGAGCCCCCCCACCCCCCAGCCGTTTTGAACAATGCTATTCGACACTCTTAAGGTGCCAGATCTCACCTACGGGTGAAATGCTACCTAGCGCAGAAGTGGCAGGTAGGAGGTTTGCGAGGAGAGGGTCTCCCCAGGTTCTCACTGCTCTGAAAGGGACACCACAGCCATCTTTAGAAGAGGATGCTGAAGAGGACCAGCCTGGCTGATGATTTAGGGTCTTGACGAACCCCTTGCCATGCTGCACCAGGTCTGGCGTGGGTCTGTGCTGCCTTTTGGGCCCCTCCTCCCACTTGTCCCTGCCGACACTGTCCCTGTGCTGGTGCAGCCCAGCTTTCCTCCCAGGGGCCACGTGCCACACTGCTGCCACCAAGGAGCAGTTCAGTGGGCTCATGTGGACTGATTTCCACAGGGACCTGGGGCTGATGACAGACCCTCAGAGGGGTCCACCTGACCTCGGTCGCAAGGTGAGTCACTTCTGCTTTGCAGCGTGGGGCTGCAGCGTGACCTAGCCGCACACCTCCACGTGTCTGCCTGTGTGCTCTCTGTCCTGCAGGTGCACTGCCTGCACAGCTTGTCTGATCATTTTATTCAGCTGTCTTTTTCCACTTAAATGCAGGTTAAAAGAAAAGTTTAAATCACTATTCCAACCTTCAACCTAGCAGACCCACTAGGAGCAATTCATCTGGTAGATACACCTTCAACAACAGGAAAATGCATGTGTACAAGGGTAGTTAATGCAGTATTTTTATAACCCCCCAAAACTGGAAAGTCCCTAAACGTCCTGCAAAAGAGGTCGGTACAGGCACAGCGCAGCTGTTAAAGGAATGGGGAAGAGCCCTGTGGAGGGAGAGAGGGACTTCCAGAGCTACTGCCGAGCAGAAAGCGCACACACAGCCCACGGCCCTGTGGGCAAGCTGGCACGGACACCAGCCACCTCGACGCACTCGTGCTCACAGAAAGAAACAGAAGACAGACTGCAGACAGAGAAGGGGTGAGATGGAAGGCGTGTGGGGGGGGACACACTGCTTTCAGCACACCTTTTTGCTCAGTTGTGTTTGTTTTATACACTTTCACAGTTTTATGTTTTGTAATACGTCCCATCTCGGTCTTCTGAAAGGACCAAAAC